CATGTCTTGCTACTTCCAATATCTCTCTGGTGGTGCTATCTCAGACTCCATCAAAGAGGGACAAACAAAGCCTTGGTTGGCCAGCGTAGTCTTTGCTGCATGCCACCACGTCCCATCTGGCATGTTCTTGGCCACCATAAGCATCCTGACGCCGGATATCTAGTTGATGATCTCAATGGTGTCAATAGTAGGTTCATTTTTCAGGGGCATAACAAACAGCGCACGTGATCACTTTTTTGCTGAAAAGTTGCAGCAGATGCACCCGCGAAATGCAGCGTTTGCGAGGGCCGCGATAGGCCGGACAACCTTTCGGATATTTGCACGGTGTGATGGCTTCGCAAAGTTGTTTCGCCGGGAGGGGGCGGGTGGGCAACTCGGTGCCCTCGTTTGCGGTGTTAAGACAGAAGTAGGACCATCAAATGGGGTTTGACGCGGAGCGGTGTTCTGGAACAAGGATCCGAAATTCGAAGCGGGAACTGCAAGTGTTCCGATTGTTGTCCTGATTCCTGTTTTGTCTGTGTACCAAAAATTTAAAACAAAGTGTCAGAACGACGCACGAGTGGCTGAGGTTCCAGGCGGTCAACGTCACAGGCGGAACAGCGCCCATGTCAGCCATGAATCCCATGGGCGTCTCGGCAGTACATGTCATATGTCATATGCGGTAGTTTGGCCGCAAAAGAATCGACAGCTGCATTTTTCGTTCCAGTCCAATCCTCCCAAGGCATGATGGGCAAAGGCGGCTTTGGGCCCATGATTGCAGGCGGCAGGGTTTTCAATCGGCTTCCACTGCATGTGTCACTTCAGCTGCTAGTGAAGACTTAGTCTCGCGGTTGCCATGCATGAATCGGACCCAGCGCATAAGTCGAAGAGCCTCCATAGCTGAGAGATATAACATGTCCTGCAGCGGACTTGGAGCCGAGGCATCATGGGCGGACTGAAAGGCGGCATGATGGTTGGAGGTGGGAAGCACTGCGAGGACAACAGCGAACAGCCCGTTGCCGGGCAAGAAGTCCTTGCACTGCTGAGGCATGGGGCCGTACGGAAAGGGAAAGGGTGGTGGCGGCTACGGAGGCTATGGTGGATACGGCTGGCACTTCGGCGATCTATATCCAAAGATTCTGTAAGTCCAAGCTCAAGCCTTTGGGCACGAGTTCCATCCATCCATGCTGTCCAATTTGCTCAGGTAGCCTGCCGCACCACCGGCAGCTGCATCTTCGCAGTGTGAGTGTGGATTCGGCACCTCCAGGAATGACGATCCCAAGTAAAGCAGCATGAAGCTTACAATAAATCGGCTTATGCTATGACCTGTGGGAGTTGGCCGGCTGTCGTGCTCTCTTTGTTCATATTTAGTGTCAGCAGAGAGGGCTTCCGCATGTAGTTGTCTCTTTAGAGGCAGACTGTTGGAATCCTGGCTTGTTGGATGTAGTTGTCCCTTTAGAGCTGTTGGAATCCTGGCTAGTTGGAGGTGGACCGACACTGCTTCCCACACCTGCCAGTAGAAAGCTTACTGAAAGCAGGTAGGCGTCTTGGGACAACTGGCGCCCTGCAGTCAATACTACGAATGCAAAGGAGCAACCGTATCGAAGTTTTGTGGAATCGTGCCATCAGCCTTGAGCCCTGCCGGGCGCCAGAATCATGATGCATTGCAGTTGATACCAATCTGCCGTGCTGGCGGCTACACAAATGGAGGGGTTTTTGGCCAGTGCGAGTGTTTCCACTTGCCGAGAGCCATTCATCCCTCAGCGATGGGCCGGGACGTTCGGCCAAGTGATATGTTTGCCAAAGGCTGTGGCAACATTGTCAGCCCAGAGAAGCCCAGCTGTGACAAGGGCAGAGACGGTCTTGCAAAAGAGGCTGTGCTTCCCTGTACTTTTGTGTTCCCCGACGTCCTTGAGGTGTAGCTTCGGAGATGAGAAGCTAGTTTTCTTGGTGCTGTTTGTAAAGATGCACTCAAAGCATGTTGCGTTTTCACTAAGGTACGGGACGCTGAACTTACTTCCAGGAGCTTCTGTTTCTGAAGTCGCTGCAGCGCCGGGTACTCAGGTCTGATGCTGGGGCACGGCGGAATGCTGACAAGAAGATGCTTGAAGTAGACATCCTTTCGGCAGCTTGCTGAGCATGGAGCCGACATGCAAATTTAAAATTTGCGGCTGTTGCATATGACCCAGTGGAGACTTAAGTGATACTTGGCCGTTTCATCTATGTGTCCGGGCCAAGATATCGCCGCGCGAGCCTGCTTGTGCACCCGGATCGATGTCAAGGCCCGGATGAATTGAGTCTCAGTCATGCGAAGCAGCACAGACTTCCTTGCCTTGGCCCCAGTATTCATTGACGAGGAACATTGGCAGACTAGGGTTTGCATCCTGTCTTGATCTCTGCATGGGTTCCTTTGCAAGTGTCCGTGCCCACTCGTGCCCTCGGCTCGAAGCCTTTGGCTCATGTCTCGCCACCTAACGGTCCCTGCTCTCTGCAGGAGACCCCGCTGCGGCAGACAAATTTGCGCGGCTAACACGGGCACGAGTGCTTGGGCTTAAAGGGTCCTGCGTGGGCTTGAGAGCGGGGCATCAGTTCGGACCTGGGGTGCCATGCTGTGTTGCCCAGGACATCCTGCTTGAGAATGCCCAGCGAGTATCGAGCCAGCAAGCCCCTCAGATGGGTCCAGGTTGCTTCATGCAAACGTTTACAGTGTGAAAAACGTAGCAGAGAATTGAATTAGTAATTAGAGGCCAGACTCGACCAGACTGGGCCAAAAAGCCAGGTAGCTCTGCGTGGTTCTGGGTGCGTAGCGGTCACCGAAGGCTACCTTTGGTTTTCTTGGCTGTCCATGCACTCTTTGGTCCGGCATTTTGGCTCACAGCGTGGCTCGCACCTTGTTCTATCAGAGGCTGGGTCGTCAGGAGCGACTCCTGGAGTGGGCCTCCTGGTGTGTCTCGCTCGGAGGCTGTCTGTGATGACATTGGCTCCGGCCTTATTCTGCTTGGTCCGTGTAGCGGCGTCGCCGGAATTCCACCTGCAAGAGCTGAAGGTCACACCTGCAGCAGGGCTACACACATCCCGTGTGGACTTTCCGAAAGCAAGGTGGGGACAGCACGTGGCGACAATGTGTGGGAGTCTCTCACTGGCTATGTGCTCTGGGCTCTGCATGGTGTCGCCAAGAACAAGCACACCCAGAGAGACAGACAGACAGACAGACAGACAGACAGACAGACAGACAGACAGACAGACAGACAGACAGACAGACAGAGAGAGAGACAGAGACAGACAGACCGACAGACAGAGAGAGAGAGAGAGAGATACCGACAGACCGAAAGACCGACAGACCGACAGACAGACAGACAGACAGACAGACAGACGGGCAGCCGAGCAGGCAGGCTAACAGACAGACAGACAAACAGACAGAAAAACAACAAACAAATAAAGAAAAGACATACATACATGAATAGGGAGCTTGCAGGCATGCACGTGCGTGTGTACTCATGCAAATTGCGAGTATGTGTAGATGCCCATACTATGTATGCATGTGTGTATACAAATGAATACATACGTCACGGCCTCCTCTTCTGCATATATCTATATATGTACAAATGATCCGTGTAAACACATACATGCACGCGTGCATGCGTGCATGCGTGCATGCATACGTGCATACAATACATACATGCGGACATGCATATATGTATACATGTACAGTCATATCCATATACATATGCATAAACATAATGTACATATGCGTACACATATACACACACAACATCCGTATTTGCATGCGCATTCATGTGTAGATGAATGCCTAGTTATATATATATACATATATACATGTATGTGTGTGTATGTATGTGTATATATATATGTCTGTCTGTCTGTCTGTCTGTCTGTCTGTCCGTCCGTCCGTCCGTCCGTCCGTCTGTATGTATGTATGTATGTATGTATGTATGTATGTATGTATGAATAGGGAAAATTCCATAATTCCCATAGTTTAAATTCCGAAGCCCCTGTATTCGGCTCTGTTCCAAACCCTACCAGATCCTGTCAG